TCTGAGAACAAGATAAGTTATTAATCATTCCCTGCAGATTCCAAGGCACTATGAGGGAAGTCTGTGTATAACTCTTCTTACAGGCCTCCTCTTATCCATACCAGCTCCTAAGCTTTCCTGGAAGTCTTTCTCCTCTTAAACATTGGCTCTAGAGAGACTTAAGGGTTTTACTGGAATGTGCAATGGAGAATTTAACTTTTTATTGTGTTTATCTCCTCCTTTGGTCTTCCTTAAACTTAGGCTATTTCCAGTAGGCAGTTCCTACTACTGTCCAAAGACATTGTACAGATATTGTTTTTTCCTACTTAAGAGATTTTCCGTGGAAAGGAAAAAGATGGAGAACATGGGGGGGGGGTTACACAAGAAGAGTACCAATGGAAAATGTTATTTGGTCAACCGGTAAAATTCCTAGACACTGGAAGTCGAGGAAGAAAGTCACATTGATTTGGGTCCAACTGAAAAAAAATATAGGCTACCACTGCACTGAGAGCATGACCAGTAGTCCAATCCAAGGCAGAGTCACCATTAAAAAAATGGCAGAGGCCTTTCACAGCTGTGTGACAGTCAGAAGCCAAATAAGTGTATTTCTCTTACCGGAGACAGCATGAAAATGTAATAAAAGCACGGGAAATATCTCCCAAAATAATTTTAAAACCTAGATAGCTATTTATTGGCTATAGAAGGAAGGAAATGCCAGTCAACATTAACAAAGAGCCTTTTCACTTTCTAGATACAACACAACACAGATACTCACCCAAGCACCCCTGCTTTTAATCTTTCCACAGCACAAAATCTAACTGTGTCTTTCTGTCCCTCAGTGGAGTTTGGCACAGGATAGTTAGAACTGTGTCACAGCTAATGGCCTGGCCTGCCTGTAGTTTAGGAAAAGGTGCCAGAGCTGAAAAAAATGAAAAGGAGGAAAAAGGAGAAAGCAAGGAGGGGGTGAGGGAGAAAGAAAGAGAGAAAAAGAAGGGTCTGTCAGTGCCATCAGAAAATAATATAATTGAGATGCATGTGCTTCAGGTTCTCCCTCTGCCCCTGTACCTTGGCAACACAGTGACACACTTTGTTCCACAAGCTCTGGTTTGTATCACCCAGTTCTAGATTAAAGCTGAAACACTGAGGAAATCCAGAATTACAACTCAAAACAGCCTCATTTGTGACCAGTAATGTAGTTACGTGTGCAGTGAAAATGAGCACATTGCTCTTCATATCTAATAGGGCAAAGCTACAATCTCCAGATCATGTCCAGGGTCAATTTAGATGTGATAACTGCAAACCCAGTTTGTTACTTTATTAGCTCATTTTAATCCTATAGCCTTAATATATCCCATCTATGATGGCCATTTTTACATAACCAAAAAGGAGAACATGCATGACTAAAAAGAGGAAAAAAGAGGATACAGGTTAGCATCAAATCTTCATATGCTAATGTATACATGATGTACATGCCTGTTGCTCACTCTGCTGTTCAGATGCTCACTGCTGATGTACATTTTTTCTGATCTCCTTTCCTCTGGTCACTCATATACCAAGACTGGACAGCCTTTCAAGCAGAGGATGCCTTCAAACAAAAACACCCATGCCTGCCCATTCCCACCTGCCTCATTTCTGTGGCAATAAAAGGCCTGGAAAAGTATGCCATCATTGGAAGGTAGAAGCTGCTCTGACTTTTCATGCAGCTCCATCCCCTGGCTACTGACCAGCTGTGGGGATGTTTCTGGGAAAGTGTGAATAAATGGTTTCAGTAAGATGGAGAAGCTGCTCTTTTCCCCTAGTTTTATGGGCATCTGGAATATTCCTGAGTCAGTAGCCAGGAGGAAGGAAGGAACTACACTTGACAGTTCCCTTTCCCTGAACTGCTGTTGCATAGCTGGGATAACAAATGTTGTATAAGAAGGTACTGGATACTACTTTGCACAATGCCTCCCAAAATGCATATGCTGGTGTATATGCATGTCACTTACAGGTTTGTAGGCTACATAGCAACACAGGAGAGAGCACTCTATCTGAATTATGGTACCTTCCAAACACAGCAATTGTTTTAGCCCCTTTGTGTTTGCCAAGGTATTCTAGTTGGCTGGTTCAGTTGATTGGATTGTGTGTGTGTTGTATTCATTTTATTGTTTAAATTATATTTAATTTTTCTATCTCTATTTGTATGTTGAGCTATAGGGATGAAAGTCAGTTAAAATGTGTTAACAAATAACGCAAGAGTGCTATGCTCCCAGCCAACATAACAATGATACAAACATATCAATATAGTTTACTGGAACAATATTTTGATTTGATTGTGGCCTAGCTGCATTTTCTGGTGACATCCCTGCAGGAATCCAGCACAAAGCGACTTTTATTGTAGAGAACAAAGGGGATGCATGGAAGCAGTTTTTAAGAACTGCACTCTGAATCTGAGGATCTAAATACAACATTTTGGATAATAAAGCTTCTCTGTGTTTTATTTTTTGTCTGAGCCATGGCACAGCCTATAACTTTTCAAGGTTGAAAGATTCCTAGAGACATCCACTTTTACAATCTTTCTCTTGATTCTATATGAATTGAGAACAGTTTATCTTACAATAAAATCCAAAATACACAGAAGTTACTTTTCTGTGGCTAATGGAATTGAGATTTCATTACCTGTCTTTCATTGCCCTTTGTCCATGGCCTTCACATGACCAAGAAGGGAAGTGGCTTCTGCCTGTATTGAGATGTCTCAATGCCACCTTAACTGACAACAGAGGAACATCTGAGACAAAATATAAGTTTGTGACTCTAACTTCATTTTATTTCTTCTCTTCTATGATTTTAAACATAGAAGAAGAAACTAGTGAAGCATTGAACACTTGCATAATATATTTTCTGCATTTTGGTTGGCAAATAAAGATAACACTCTTTTGTGGATTTTAGTTTTTGTTGTATTTTGCTGCACAGCCAACATGGCTACTGCCAAATATGTTTAGCTTACAATCATCAGTCTCCCCTCAATCTATTGTGCTGCTTATTAAACTATACAGAAACATCTAAATATGTCCACAATGGCTTTTTTCATGCTTGCTTTCATTTGCCACCTCTTGGAGTCTTTATTTTATGATGGTATCTTATTATGGAGGAAAGAAGACTGCTATCACTCAGGGGTGACTGAAAGCCCCCACATAAAATACCAGGCATACCCCCCCCCCCATCTAGACTGGGAATGAATTGGCAGGAGGGTTAAAATTCCTCTCCTCTCTTCCCACCTGCAATTTACTTTTCAAAAGCCTTTCATTCTATTGCAAATTGTATGACCAGCATGGCATCTAATTAGGCACTCACAATGAAGGTGTTCTCTTCATTTAGAAAATGGCAGCAAAATAAATTAATGGGCCAGATTTTCAGAAATGCAGAGCTTGCATATGCAGGCAAGGAGGGATTTTAAAGAGCCATATTCTTATTTGAACATAGTACCCAAGCAAGCAAGATTGTTCCTCCTTAGTCCAACTGATTCAGCTTGCAATGCTATACTCATTTGCTCAGGAAAAAGCCCCCAAAAAGCTTACTTGTGGGTAGACATAAAGGACTATACTGTGAGTCAAGCAACAACAACAAGGGGCTTTGCTTTTGAAGACCTTACTGAATACTTGGTGAGATTATTGAAATGGAGGAAAAATACATTGATATTACCTTTTAAAAAGGTAAATGCTAGAAAGATTTAAATAATTTGACGATGCTAGTTTAGAAATTACCCATATCTCCTTACTAGATAAAGAGAAAACGAGAGACTGATTGTTCAGTCATAACAGTCCCACAACAACATAAACACTAATAACAAAAATGGTTTACTCTGGCAAGTTTTTGCTGATTAACTCACTGATTAAAACATTAGTGTTGGGTCAGGCCATAGGATTTACAGACAATGCCATGTGGTTGACTTTAGGGAGCATGCTTTGTTAATGGTTCTTTCAAAAGGTCTCTTTTTGTCCTTCTAAAGTTGCCTTCCTCTAATATGGAATTTCACCCCACATGGACCATAAAACCATTAATAGGACTGCTGCCTGGGAATAGTGAGAAGCCAGCGTCTCTGGGAATTGACAGGTTGGATAACGTTGTTGCAAAACATGGCATTTCATCTTGCAACCACTTCAGTTCAGTTGGTCATCAGCCTTATCTTTTTTCCTTCCACCTCCACCTATTATTACTGTTGTTGTTTTAAATTTTAAATAAACTTAATTGACAAATCAGTTTACTGAAAAGACAGACAAAACACTTATAAAATAAACAAAATGAAATTGACTACAAGTATGAAGAAAACACACACATACATAAAACCATTATCCCTTCCCCGCACTCATCCCCACCCACATTCCCATTGACTTCCCACATGACTCTGTCTATAACCTCTAACTATAACTTGTTGTTGTTGTTGTTGTTGTTGTCTATACAGACCTTTTCTCCAATAATGGGACCTAAGGCAGCTTGCAGAAGTTAAAACAAATACAATTAAATTAAAACAAATATAATTAAAACAGTGACAAAAAGAGAGGTAAAACATATAAAAGATTCAATTCAACAATATATAGAACTAAACCCTCTAATTGTCATAAGATACACACTCAATCTTCAAATACTTTTTTGTTAAGGGTTAATGGGGAGTGTTATTTCACATAAAGGGTACCCTACCACAAGTAGAGCAATAAGTAGATAGCTATGAAGATTGATCAGTGAATCAAGAGTGATGAATTCTTAATCTGAATTTTAGAGCATCTCTGAGCAAGTACAGAATATTTTTCTGTACAACTGAATCACTGCATCATTTCTGCCCCCTCACCTCAAGTCAAGAAGTGTGGTGTGCAAAGGTCAATGGGAGTGGGCAGGTTTTGCATGCAGGATGGAACCAAGGATCCTAAATATAATTTGTGGCATCCTCAGTTTTAATAATGAAGTATCTAACACACAATCACCTCTCTACACTTATCTTACCTTAAGTGTATAATTAAAAAGGGTGGGTAAGAAGGAGAAAGAGAGCCAGTGTGGCATAGTGGTTTGAGTGTGCTGGCCTACAACTCTAGAGACCAGAGTTTGATTCCCAGATCAGCCAAGAAACCCACTGGGTGACCTTGGGCAAGCCACATGCTCTCAGCCACAGGGTAAGCCAATGGCAAACTTCCTCTGAACAAATCCTGCCAAGAAAACCCCACGACAGCATCACCATGTGTCGGAAACAACATGGAAGGACATAACAACAAAGGAGGAGGAGGAGGAAAAGGAAAAAGAAATGAAGGAGAGGATGGGATGAGGTAAAAAGCAGAATGAGAAAAGAGGTGAAAGAGAAGGTGAAGCCAAGAGCACTGGCAACTGAAATCTGAAGGTGCAAATAATAATAATAATAATAATAATAATAATAATAATAATAATAATAATAATAGCTTTGTGACTTTATACCAGCATTCGGTAGGAGAAAACAGAAGAATTAAGCCTTTGTTGGCACTTCCTGGAACCATAGTTGCAAAAGCAAGTACTATCTGCCAAGTGGAAAAATTTCTGCCCTACTGATCAAGTTGTAGCACCAGGCATAAATAAAAGTTTTGGAAGAATCTGGAACTCAGAAATACCTATGAGAAGGAAGGAGTATCATCACCAACAACAACCTTTCCTTGGCTTTCTAGGAATACAAGCACTACAACTAGGTTATCAGTTGTATCCAGCTTCTTAGAATCAAAGTCTAGGAGTTAGATCATTATTTGCTTAGGAAATTATGCACTTAAGCCTTCACTACATCTGATTACCTAGGACCTCTTTCTTTGAATATGCGTCAGTCTATCCCTTTTCCTTTCAAACATCTACTTTGCTTCAGAATTAGCTGTTCCTCAATCTCTTCAGAAGAACAAAAGCCTTCTCAGTAACAACTGATTATGGTTCTATTAATTAATTATTACCCTCAAACAGGTCATTTTTATTCATTTTATTCATTCCACTGCACAACCAATCAATACAGAAGTGAAAATACTAAAAATTTACCCAATGCTAGACCTGCCATTAGTCTCAAGTGTGATTCCCTGAAGGCACCAGATCCCATTTGATCTTGGAAGGTAAGCAGGATCAGCCCTAGTTAGTACCTGGATGGGAAATTGCCAATAAATACCAGATGCTGGAGGTTATATTTCAGAGGAAGGAACTGGCAAAACCACTTCTGAGTATTCCTTGTCTAAGAAAACCCTGTGAAATTCATGGGGTCACCATAAGTCAACAGGTGACTTGAAGGCACATACACACATGTGGGACACAAGCAGTTCCCCACCCCCAGCACCGGCAGGACCCTTGTCACTCTGGAGAGTTTCCACTAATATGATGAAGTTTGAGTGACACATTAAATATGAGATCTTGTGAGAGAGGTCAGAGCTTAGAAAAGTCATTGTTTTAGACTACAACTCCAAGAATCCCCCACTCAGCAAAAGGTTTCCAAGCAGTAGGAAGGATCACTAGCACAGTTACTTCCAATAGCACCATCTCTTCAGAAGGAGTGACAACATTCATATGAAAAATACATATTTGGCAATTCCTCCCATATTGCAGGTTACTGCTAGCAGCTCCAGGAATAGGCAATTGCACTCAAAGGCCATAGCCAGAGATCTGGGAGAGCAACCTCATTTCTCTTTCACTTCTGTAGAATTGCATCCAGATGTCTGGATGCCTCTTCATCTGCTCCCTTCCCCTAGCCTAGGATCCTTGCCTATGTCGTGGTCTGCCAGTAAAAGGCAACCAAGCTTCAAAGAGAAGCATACTGTAATACAAATGTTTTCTTATCCCTTTGCCAATCATTTTCAAATTCAAGTGACTAGTGTTTCATTCAGAATGAGTTGTCATCGTCGTCGTCGTCGTCGTCATCATCATCATCATCTTTATTTATTCTCAACCAGATCAGGACTCCCATTACATCCTATCCACTTCACACTTAAGAGGTGTTACAGAAATTGAGATTCCTTATGTGCGCTGATACCACATTTACAATTTCTTGTATAAGAATTTGTGTGCATTCTTCTAAGAAAGTAACCTCCTGCTTGTTTTGAAAAATATATTAGGAATCAAGGGATCAAATAGGCAGTATCTTCCTGTGCTTGCTAAACTAATAATTTTGGCCATGATTCCTGAATGGGGTCCTCAGGTCTGGAGGTAAACAAACCCTAACTAAGAGCCAGTGTGATGTGGTGGTTTAAATGTTGGATAAGACTCCAAGAGACCAGGCCTTGAATCCCTGGTCAGCCATGGAAATCCACTAGGTGACCTTGAGAAAGTTATACTCTTGTTGCCTAAGAGGAAGGCAATGGCAAACCTCTGAAGAAAGTTTGTCAAGAAAACCTGATGATCGGATTGCCATAAATTGGAGTTGACTTGAAGGCACTTACCACAACAAACCATAACATATTTCACTGTTCTCTGGCAATAGATGCTTGGCCATTAAATTTGGCTATGAAGTAAGTACCACTTTAAAATTTCTCATGAATCCAGAATCAAGAGGGTGGTTGTTCTGTTTCAGTCATTTTTCTACCATCAGAACAATCTCAATAACTGTCAAACAATATTAGACAGAAACATCTTACCTTTCTGTGCTGTCTTGAATAAGAGGGTTTCCCTTCCCATTTACTGCATGCAGTTGTAGAGCATTATCCTCCAGTTTACAATGTGCCTGGTTACAGGTCTTGTCCCTCATCTCATGGTTCAGGGGGATCTCTCTGGCTTCTGGCCCCACTTTTCTACACCGGAGCAACCGTTGATAAGCTGTTCTGAAGTCCCTGTTCAGTGCAGCATACAAGATAGGGTTCAAGGCTGAATTGGCATATCCAAGCCACAAGACAACGGTCAGTAAGGTTTCACACACAGCACCCTGCATGCCCCGGTACATAAACACTGTAAAATAAGGAAACCAGCAGATAATGAAGGCTCCCATCACAGCAGCAAGAGTCACAGTGGCTTTGTGTTCCTTCACAGTAGGCAATGCATGCCTGACAGTCTTGCAGCAGCTGGTGTAGTTGATTCTCTTTGCTTGCTCCCTGGCTATTTTGAATATACGGTAGTATGTAATGCACATGACAACCAAAGGGAGGTAGAAAGTAAGCAAACCATCCACCAGCACATACAGAGTGTTGACTTCAAGCTTGCACTCCTGTTTTCCATCCACTAAACGTGTGTTCTGGATAGTTGTGTCATTGGTGTTCCAACCGAAATGAATAGGTAGGAATGAGACCATGAGTGACACTACCCAGATAAGGACCATAGCCACAGCCACCCAGAGGGGAGTGACCACGGTGGGGTAGCGGAGAGGTGCTGTAATAGCATAGTACCGGTCGAGGCTAATCACGAAGAGGTTGAGGATGGAGGCCGTGCATAGCATGACATCCAAGCTGATGTAAATATTGCACCAAGTAATGCCCAAGGGCCACTCATGGGAAAAGATCTCATAGGTAGCTGAAAAGGGCAGCACCAATAGGCCTAGTAGCAGGTCTGTGAAGGCCAAGGAGACAATGAAGCAGTTGGTCAGGCTGCGGAGCTTTCGGTTGAAAGAGACAACGAGGCATACCATAACATTACCACAGATAGTCACAGCTATGAGGACTGTGAGGACAATCCCAATCAGCACTTTTTCCCAAAGGCAGAGAGAATTGTCTGTAACATGTGTGGAATTCATGATGATGGGAGAGATATTTCTTACTTTTCCTCCAAGCAGACTTACATGGTAGTTACCCTAGAAAGTCTCAGAAAAAACTGTCTATGTCAGATTCTCCAAAACATAAATCTCTCTGCCTTCTTCCATTTGTCTCCTAATAGTCCCGGTATACAGTGACAAAACACTTTTTCTCAACAAAAGGAATCCAATATAATCTCTGATTGTGTATCTATAGGATGACTAGTATGTTTAAATGAATGCTGATTTTATTCATTCTCCTCCAAAAGGATCCACAGACAAGTAATGTGCTGAAGACAGCTGAGCCCCCCCCCCCTTGTTAGCAATGTTCTTCCAAGAGTTCCTTTTGGAATCAGGATTCCAGACTAGATTTAGCAGGATTCATGATCCAGCAGGGTTCCTCTCATGTTTCATACATTTTACCAGATTCCTTTGCTTTGGTCTCACCCTTTTCTTGACTTTCTTTTTCCTCCTTTCACAGAAATCATTGGGACATATTAAGTGATGTGATATGTTTGTAACTGTACATGATTTCATAGGTCAGGCCAAAGAAGAAGAGTCCCAGCTGTATTACTCTTTCTCCATTTACATATCTTGAAGATCAAGAATAATTGAATAGGAGCAGGATGAATTTGCACTCTTTCCTGGATAAAATCTGTAAGGAAAAATAGAGTGAGATGATATGGATGGGACTCAGGGAGCTATGTTATATCAGGTCAGCAAGTGTGTTCATCTAGCCCAGAGGTGACAAGCAACAGCTTTCAAAGGTGTCAGGCAGGGAAGGGCCTTTTGCATCACCTACCACCTGATCTCTACTACCTCTACTCTTCTTTAACTTAGCTTGAAAAAAGAGCACAGTATCCACTTGTTCACCGAGCTACATTCCTTTCCCCTACATTCTAACCAGAACTTGAGAAATCACATTTTTGCACAATAACTCCCAGAATCCCTCAGCCTAAATGATCCTGAGAGTTGTCCAAAAAGTTACATTTCTAAACTCTGGCCCTAAAAGATAACGTAGGGCTTCTCTGGAGCATCCATAGTCTTCCTAAAATTCCTCAAACTGAAAAAGTATTGTTTTATATCAAGAATTTTTTATCTCACCATTCACCCAGGCAGTTTTTGCTTTCAGTGACTGTTGCATCACTATTGCTACTGATCACATCAGCCCTGGGCCAGATGGGGTTAAGCTGAAGCCTGAAATTATATAAATAAGAAAAACCAGCAATCTCAGCATATGTCCTGAATAACAAGGAGCGCTGTAAAAAATATACTTTTATATACAGAAAATACTGCATTAAGTTTGTTATTTTTTAATCTCCATCTTTCCCTTTGTCCATAAGTGTACTGGTAATGGTGAGGCAACACTGGTACCAACTGTTATGGTGTTCTGTGAAAACAGAAGCCACCATGTGAAG